CAAACTCCGTCGCGTCATTTGCAAGACCGCGGCCAGTATAGCGGCCCAGGTCGACGTCGGCCATTTCTACGACTGCATCGCCTTCACGAGGGTCAAGAGCAGACCTACTCCCTGCATCACAGATGACGTTTGAGGCTGGCTCGTCTTTGCTCAATCGTAACGCTATCACAGCAAGACTCATCGACCGGGGTGGCCATTTCCAGCTCGTCGACTCTTCGTATCCAACAACCGCCCCGCTTGCCACAACATCGACCGTCAATCGTTCCGTCTCGCATCAGTCGCATCAGTCTTCCTACATCGATATAGCCCAGCCCTCAAACCCACCGCAGCAGAGTGACGGTGTAGCCTTCGTCCTTCGCCCACCAACCGTACCGAAGGAACAGTGCGGCTCGCTCAACGAGGCAGTCCATTTAGAGTGGCTCAAAGGTCGTGGCGCCGCTTGGGTCTCGGGTTCTCCGCACCTCCAATACTCCAAGGAGCGTGGATCCTTCCAGTTTCATGTCATGGACGTCACCTCCCCTTCCCCGGATCCGTCCGGAAACCTTATCACTGAGTCAGGGCTCGCTGCCGCTCTCGACACCTTGGAGGATGCTGCTCTGGACGAGTGCGTCTCTCGCCATCTCACCGAAGGTGGCGATGATCGTCTGCACCTCAACGACGCCGGTGTGAATAAATACTATTGTCCCCCGCGCCCGTTGCCGAAAGAAGTCGTCATCCGTGGCAGTTGCACCTGTTCATCACCGACTCCAGATGGCTTCGAAGCTGCGCGAGTCGCGCTCCGTAGTCTCTGGAATGGTCGCACTGATTTCGGGACCTGCACCGCCGACATTCGCTCGCGCCTATCCAAAGTCTTGCAAATATCTGTACCTCATGAAGTCATCTTGCATCCCTCCGGCTCCGACGCAGAGTTGATTCCGTTGGCGATTGCCGCTGCTAAAGCGAGGGAGCTGGCGTGCACGGGCGTGGTAAATATTGTAGCTGCTGCCGGCGAAGTCGGTTCCGGAACCGCTCCTGCCGCTGGAGGCCGACATTTCAGTGAGTTCGCACCCAGCGGCCAAATTGTGAAGAACGGCGATCTCATCGCTGACTTTCCGGCTGCAACAACGGTCGTGGAGCTTAAACCTCGAAGTGATGATGGTCAATTGATTGATAATTATGACGAGCTCGTCATGAACGTTGTTCGCGAACATGAGCAGGTCGGGCGGTCATGCTTTGTCGTCCATGCAGTCGATGGGTCTAAAACTGGACTACGCCTTCCAAGTCAGGAGCTTCTTGAAAGGCTACAACTAGACCTGGGCGAAAGGTTGCTCGTTGTCCTTGACGCCTGTCAATGTCGTTCAGAATCAACGGAACTCGATTGGTTTCTCCAACGTGGTGCGGTGATTCTCGTGACGTCTAGCAAGTTCTTTTCCGCCCCGGGATTCTGTGGTGCCGTTCTTGTACCAAAAGACTCTTCTCTGGGTGTCCTGAGGGATGGCCCTACGCCGCTAGGCTTGAGCGACTATTTGACAAGGCACGAAGTACCGCAGTCCATCACGGCTTTGCACAATAGTCTTCCGCATGGACCGAAAAATATTGGCTTGTTGTTACGCTGGATATGTGGGATTACCGAGATGGAAATGTTCACAGCAATGGGTGACAGTGTGAAAGTAGCGATGCGAGAGTGGGTCTATGGTGTGCGGAATCTTGTTTGCAAGCGACGCCCAGCGCTGGAGTTGATTGATGTCGAGTGCGCCGAATGTGATGGTGACATGACTCGTGCCGGCGGAGTGAACTCTGTTGTGAGCATCAAGTTTCTGACAAAGTGTGGACTTGCTCACCTAGATGCGGGTACGCTTCGTCGGACTCACCGGCACCTAACAATCGATGCGTCAAAGATTCTTCCTTCGCATGCGACCGAAGAAGAGCGCAAAATCGCATCATTAAGATGCATGGTCGGACAGCCCGTTAAGCTTGGAGGCTTCGGTGTTCTCCGCCTTGCCATAGGAGCACCCATGGCTCGGGACCTTGCTCGACCGGGAAGGCTGCAAGAGGCGCTGAAAGAGGACGCGAATGTCTTGGACAAGATGATAGTTATGGGCAAGTATTGCGAAGAAATTCGCGAATAGTTGGTGTGGCACAAGCGAGCTAAGGTGAAGCGGGTCGCGCATGGAGATATAACGTTGACGCGATGCTAGGCTTCACGCTGTCGCACCTGCACGTCGTGCTCGTGACAAAGGGGTGGACGTGCTTGCTCTGTGGGACTCAGTTTAGAAACAAAGATGTTTGGCTGGTCAAAAAATTACTGAAAAAATCAAAAAGAAAATCTAGATGTAGAAGAACTTTTTTCTAGGTAACTGTGGAACTTGATGTGGAATGAATGCTCGCTGTTGTGTGAGGCAGGCAGCCTGCCGCCTCCAGCATGTTTTATGAACTTTAGTTTCGCGACAAGATTAGGGGCATGTGAAATGTTAGGATGTAAATGGAAACCGTTCTCCCCACAAAATGGAGAGAAGCCAGATTTCGACGTTCAGGGAAGCCACCACCTTGTCTTGTGCGGCGTGTCATCACTCTGTGCGATGTTCATTCGTCTGTCTGAGCTATGGTTGTTGGTCCAACATATCGAAAGAGCCATGGTATCTTTGTGTCTCTCATTAGTGATATGTACTCATCTGCAACAAAAAGCGAAGTGGGATCTACGTACCTCTCAATGCGAGTCATATAAACGCAAAACTGCTAGAGGGTCACATTTCCTGACCTCCAAGATTGCGTTGTTGTTCGAGAATACACACAATAGTTGTCGCCACTTACGCATTTACAGAGAAAGTTGTCTTCAACGGCAGCAGGCTTCAAATTTGTGTCTCATTGCATCAATTCAACATCTTGCCAACTTTCCGACCACTTTGATTTACAGCGTGACAATGGGCTCGCTGGTGGCCGCGATAAGAAGAGAGATATTTATTTTTCCAGACTGGTGTCAACGTCTGCCACCCGGATGTCGTTCATACAGAGCAGTTGAAGTGCACATTGACTTGTAATGTATGTATAGTGTAGAGCAGCGGCCCCTGTGGGGCGATCGCAGTGAACTACTGGACTTAACATACACGGGATGGAATGGTCATGGACATATCTCCGTGTTGAGGTCGCAAGGGCAGTATTTCGCTTCTTGTTGGAGATGAAGTCAACTACTTTGCCGTTTGGGACGTAGTTGTAAATACGTAGGCGCTGCTGCGCCCTGGTTAGAGAGCGTACTTCATCAAGACAGGCTCACCTTCGATAGAAGACAATTAGGCTTGCAAGACACGCGCCTGTACTGGTAGAGAAGAGAAATATTTGTATGGATGGCAACGCGCATGACATTAAACGGCATGGGCCGGAGTACCACTTGTGGTGTGGACGGGCAGATTCCCCAGGTCGCCAATTCCAGAGATTTACCGTTCGGACGTAATATTGCAAAGATGAGCAAGCACTTTTTGAGGTGGGACGCGATGCAAAACAGTGCGGAGCACTCGAGACAAGGCGTAACGAGTGCCTATGCGGAATGAGCAGATGCGGGACAAGTTCGATCTGTGCATAAAATTTCGCCGGTGGAAGGTGTACGGTTATGATTACCAGCCAGGGGGCCGATCACCTTAACACACAGCCAATGAAAATACAAAACATAATTAAAAGTTCAATAGGATACAGCCAAGTGTCTTCATAACGTCTCTGTCGACCAATGGACAAGGGGAGGATAGCGATGCAACTGCCCTGACCGTTATGACTCGTTTCACATCCCTTGCTCGGGCCATGACAGCTCATAACGAATCTGAGATCCACCTTGACGAATGGCCCCAAAGAGGAGACTTTCTGCCGGTTTTTTCAATCATTTGCTACTCGTAACGTCACGCACTAACAATAACAAGCCTACGTCTTACCAACATTTCTCTGAGCTCTCCGCCCTTTGACGTTCATCTTTCTAGCCTTTGATATGTCTTTAGTGCTTCTGCATCACTCCACTGGCCGTCAGACGTCGCTGCCATCCTTCCCGGACACCGATTTCTTTTTGTGTTCCTGCCATCCTTCCCGGACATCGCTTTCTTTTTGTGTTCGACGCCCACACTCACACTCACTCTCACTTTCTTTCTCACTCTCACTTCTCACTCTCACTGTTCAGCAGCCCCACTTTTGTTGCCTGCTCATTTGTCTTTGCGAGCTAATTGTCGACTCTGCTTTGCTTGCATCCACTACTGCTAGTTCTTGTTCTATTCATCTTGCGCCAGAGATCTCCTTCCCAGCCAGTTGCGGGTCTTTCCGAGCGCGGAACCACTAACCTTCTTTTTGTTTGTCTTCACCCAGCAGGAACAACTGTTCCCAATCCTACATATTCGATATGCAGTTCTCACGCACGGCCGCGCTCTTCCTCTGCGCGGCCCTCCTTTCCCTTTTCCTTCACCCCGTTTCATCCCACCCCTCTTTCCATTCTGCCCCCCGCACCTCTACGGCACATCTAGCGTCCTGGCAAGATTTTTTCGTCAACTTGCTTGAGACTCCCGTTGTCCGGAAAAAGGACGGAGTCCCGGAACTCGAAGACGGGGAGAAACACGCTAGAGACCCGGAGAACATCGGTGATAAACCCGGATCTCATGTGAAACCAAGTCCGAGTTTTCAACAAGACGCACCGAATGGGACTGGCGGAGGCGGCCAGGAACCCTCCCAGGATGATGATGTGAGTCTCACTCCAGAGCCCTCCCCTATGATTATCACCTCAAAGCCCCCCGCGACATCAGAGGTTCCTGGCAACGATGGGATGCTTGGACCTGAGGAAGCCGTCACAGTCAACCCTTCTCAACCACCGGGAAAACAGTCTGTGCAACCTAACTCGCAGGAGCTTCTTAATGAAAATGAGCTAGAAGAAACTCCGGTAGAAAGTCCGCCTGCAGATAAGCCAGTCTCTACCCCTGTTCCGTCATCGAAGCCTCAGGGCGCTTCTGCTTCTGTGAAGCCCTCGTCATCGAAGCCGCAGGGCGCTTCTGTTTCCGCGAAGCCCTCTCCTAAAGCTTACAGATCGACTGTACCAACACCGTCAAGTTCGGCTTCTCTCCCGGTGACGAGTCCAAGTGTCACTGGAGCTGGCGGAGCTAGCGCAGCTAAGCCAACTGCTTCGGGCTCCCCATCTCCAATGTTTGCTATCGAGAAGCCTGTCAAGGCCACTCCTGACATTGTGGAAGAACCAAGTATTGAGAACTCGGCGACTTCTTCTGGGTCCGAGGATACAACTGCGTCTCCTTCGCCAGTCGTTTCAGGGCCTAACACGTCGCCGTCACCAGCAGTTGTATCTTTGACTCCAATTCCTTTGCTCACTCCAGAGCCAGCGTCATTTGAGGAAGGCGAGATGCAAACATCTCCTGAGGCAGGGCAAGAACGATCCCCACTTAGTAGCAAAATCCCGAATGCATCTCCGGTGAATACGACGACTAACAATGCAGCTGTTACAGCAGTGCCCCCAGCTGGAGCAACTGCGATACCACCGCCAGGATCTGATGACCCACCAGCGGATTCCACAACCAATCCAGTGGCTTCTTCTACTCCCAAAGTCGTAGTCACCGCTATTGCTCCATCCCCAGCATCATCAACTTCCTCTGCGGTGAATGCGTCGCCTTCATCACTACCGCAAGCTGCTGACGTTACCGCAGTCCCGCCAGCAGCTCCAAGCCAAGCAGGTGTAACTGCAATTCCGCCCTCACCCGCGAACAAACCGGATGCGACAGCAATTCCGCCTCTTTCTGAGTCTGTACCTTCCTCTGAATCTGCTTCTTCCGGTACCGATTTCACCTGCTTGTACTTTGGTGATGGAACAGTTTCAGGGTTTGAGAGCCCAGATACCACCCTCTTCAGTGGCGAAACCGGGAAATTCTCAGTTCCCCGCCGGGTTTTCCCAGATCTTGCACCGCAATATTTGTCACACACTTATGGAAAGTCATGGTCTTACAAAGTTTTGGTTGATTCAGGGCTGACATACGATTTTGTTCTGGGTTTCGCTGAAGTTTATAATGTCGCATGTGACTCCGGGAGCACTGCTGGATTTAGGAAGTTTGAAGTGACAATTGGATCTGAGAGTACCATCATTGATATCATGTCAGAAGCTGGCTGTGGAAAAGCTTTGAAAAAGAGTTTCGATGGCGTTGTTGCGGAGAGCAACTTCATAACAGCTGCCTTTAGGGGTTTCGGCCAACAAGCGGTCCTGAACACAATGTGCTATCGCCCAACAGGGGGAACCAATTCCGGCCCCATTCCTCAGCCTTCCTCTGTTCCAGATTCCTCGACCTCGACTCCAAACTTGTCAGACATAGTGGGTCCAGGTGAAGACTTTCGATGTATTAACTTTGGCCCAAAGGTTATCGGCGGATATACTCCATATGATAAGACTGCAGTACAAGGCAATACCTTCCTTTATCGTGGGTCTGGACCTAAAAACCCTGAACTTCCGCCAGCATATCAATATCACCTGTTCGGGGATGACTGGAGCTACTCTCTTGACGTGTCATCCGACAATCCTCAGAACGTTGTGCTTGGATTTGCGGAAGTGTATCCAGAAGCATGCGCTGCTGGTAGTCAGGGAGCATTTAGGGTTTTCACAGTTTCGGTAGGGGGTGATCTTCAGCTTGTGGATGCGATGAAGACTGCTGGATGTGAAGCTGTTGAACAAATTGAGTTTGACAGTGTGATTCCACAAAACGGAGCCATTGACCTGTCGCTTTCCTCGATATCGGGCGATTCGATGTTGTCGGTCATATGTTTTTCCGATGTAGATACATCCGCTCCTTCTCAATCTATTCCTACAGCAGTACCTCCGCCTACGTCTTCAAGCCTCTCTCCAGCTCCATCCGGGCCAAGCACACCAGATGCATCGACATATGATGCCTGTTTCAAGTTTGGAGATGAAGTCGTTGACGGGTTTGCAAACGTTGAGTTAGGAGAAGGAGTCGAAGTTTACACGAACCCCTTCGCCGTCGTGAAGGGTACCCCATACGACCAAGTGTATGGAACTCACGTGTTCGGAACTCGATTCACATTTTCGGTACAAGCAAGTAGTCCTTCAACGAAGAAGTCCTTCATTCTCGGTTTCGCAGAAGTATTCCAGCCAGCCTGTAAGGATGGATTTCGAGTCTTCGATGTCACTGCAGGCTCGGATACTGAAACTGTCGATGTTTACAAGGAAGTCGGATGTAACACAGCGTTTGATTTGCGTATTGACGGGGTCGAACCATCATCCTCGACTGGTCGTTTCGAAATTTCGTTCACATCAGAGAACAACTTGCCCATGCTTTCAGCTGTCTGCATCCTTGACGAAGGCGTCTCCGAGACCAATGAGTTGCTGCCGTCAAAAGTTCCTGACAAATCTTCTGCAACGACTGGTAACAGTGCAGGTGATGGACGGGATATGAAAGCACAAGTGAACGTTGGAGCACCTGATCCACCATCTCGTGACCCCTCTGTTCCTTCTACGTCTGATGATGAATCGCCAGAACAATCTTCCCCAGCGATGCCGAGCCTTGAGCCGACTTGGACACCAGAACCACTGGTTCCTTCTCCGGAAGTACAGACTGTAGAACCCTCGCGCAGTCCACAATCAATAGCAACTGATGAGTCATCCGGTCCTTCAGTACCGCCGCCATCACTACCGACTCCTTCATCAGAAGGTGCGACGTCTGTGCCAGAAGAAAGTGCTTCCCCTGAAAATTCTCCGCTTCCAAAAGAAGACGGGGTGATTATTTCGCTCCCAGATGCAAACCCAGAATCATCAGAAGAAGATATTCTTGTTGGTCCTGGTTTAACGTCTGAATTTAACGGTTCTATTCCATCACCGGAGGCCTCTGTTGAGTTAGTTGAAACTGACTTTTCCCAAACCACCTTGGGCGTCGAAGGAGAGTCACAATCTCCACAAGCCTCGCCTATGGTCACTGTGAAACCAAGTGAATCTGCTGCGATTGGGAAGCCGGCAAAAGCATCTCCTTCATCAGTTGTTGAACCGACGCCCTCAAGTTCGTCTGAAGCATCTCCCCCTCCTTCAGTTGTTGGGCCCACAACGACCCCTTCGAGTTCTGCACCAGTTTCTGCGCCCACATCTACTCCAACAGGGGTGCCGCCGGAAATATCTCAGGATGCGGAAATATCAGAGGCTCCAGATGAGGATGAATCATCTTTTGGCAAACCTTCGAATGATCCGATGGAAAGCAACGATGCGCCAACAACCACTGCTGCTGTGACTGCAATCCCACCCAATGGAGCTATAAATGGAGGATCTCCAGGTGATTCAGATGGAATGGAGCTAGAGGATGGTGAAGAAACATCTGAGAACCCAGAGAGCTCTCTCGTTCCTGAAGTCAATAGTGGAACCAATTTGAACGCGGGAGAAGAGCCATCACCGTTGGTCACGGCCGTCCCTCCTGATGGGGGGGCCACTCCTTCAACCGAGTCAATGCCTACTGCTATCACTCCATCAGCAGAAGAAGAATCTGGCAATGCAGTGACTGGGACATCAGCAGAAGAATCTGGCAATGCAGTGTCTGGAAATTCCACAGAATCGAACCAGGGAGTTATAATTGTGGACACGTCCCCCGTCCCGTCGGTTTCAGCGGTCCAGATGGTTCCATCAGCAGGCCCCGCATCGGCATCCCCCCCGTCAGCGGCTCCCCCGTCACTAGTTGAGGTACTCCCACCTGTCGATAATACACCTGGACCAAGTCAAGTACCTTCCGCATCTCCGAGTCAGGAACCTACCGCAACGGTGACACCAACCGGGTCAGCAAGCCCAGCTCCTACAGGAGACGAGGATGGCGTCGTGGGGGGAGGCTCAGAGTCAGAAGCGAATGGAGAAGGATCACCATCTCCCTCAGCCTCACAGATAGTCTCTACGACGGGAACAGACGAGGTGATCACAGTGACTACAGAAGAGCCCTTACCCGCTCCCTCAGAGCCAGCTGGGGAAATTTCGCCAGCAAAGCCGGTCTACAATTCACCGGACAATAGCGCAGGCAATATCGAGGTAACAGATGGTTCAGATGTTTCCGATGATAATGTGAATCCAGATGCCAACGAGGTTATTGTTGCTGGTGAGTTCAAGGAGCTGATAAGTTCGCAACCGGAAGGAAACGGATTCACGATTGGAATGGGTGTTCTTGGGGCGCTGCTTGTGCTCTTATTGCTGATCTGCCTGTTCTTCGCCATATTCAGAAGCGGAGGCGGTGCCTATTCGTACAGCAGCCAGTACTCTGGTCAGAAACCGACGGATTATGGAGATCCTAGTCAAGGTGGATATACTGAGGAGTTGGCTCCGGGGACCGGCGACTATGGTGACACACACTCGTATGGGCAAGGGGGCCAAGAGGGATACGCTGAAGGCCAAAGTACTTTTGAATCCAGACCACAAACTAACGGAGGGTCTTTCACGTATGAAGGAGCTGGTGATCCCTTGCTTGCTGGATCCGGGTACGGAGGCGACGCTCCACCTGGCCCAGTGGAAGATGCTGCTGAGTCAACAGATGCGCAGACGGAGCCAGACACATTTACTGACTACACAAGTCTTAACATGCAACTTAACATGCAACAACAGCCTACGGCAGAAGGTGGAGGACAAGAGTCTCGAATGGTTCAGAACGATGATTACACATTCACAGACACCTTCACAATTCAGAACAACGGAATTTATTCTGCCGAGACCCGAGCGAGGGAGCTTGCTGAGATCCGTCGAGCTGGCCTTGCAGCCGCGGAAACCTCAGCGCGTGCTGCTGAAAATCCTTCAGAGTCGTTCGATGCCCACGCCTCGATGGTGGGCCCCACAACGCATCCGGAGTCGACTAGGACTATGACCTATGAGCACGATTCAGCCACTGAAGGAGCAGACGATGGAGAGCGGTCGATGGGAGGATATGGTGCTCCGGAAAGGGCCATCGCTGAGCAAGACCCTGATATCGCGCACTCAGGTAAGGGCAGGCATTCTGCAGATGGAGGTATTTCGATTAACTCCAACCCAGAAGCAGTTCCGTCGCCCTATGAAAGCAATTTCGTCCTGCAAGACGAAGCAAAACATTCAGGTAACTTTGAGGACGACGTTTCAAAATTGACCACGCGTACCGTGACAAGAAGTGGGTGGAAAGATGATCATCCTGATCAAAACGTTGCTTCCCATAAGAGACTTGTAACTGAACCAGGTGAGAATGTTTTGTGTAATGACTCTTCTGATTCTCCAACAGGTACTTTTCAAGCTGGCGGCGAGCGATGGGGAAATATCCTCGCTCCCGCAACAGGCGGAGGCGCTGGGCGATCAAGAGTTTCGAATGACGGTCCGTGGCCCGCATGGTGGTCTCGCGGAAAACACCTTGCCCGAGATACGCCTACCGATGTTGTCTACGAACAGGAAGCCACTGCCTCTGCTGGCAGGGAGGAAGAGGAAACAGAGGTTTCTGACGTCGGGGAATCCAAAGAGAATGAGAAATCCAGCACAGGAGTTGGCAGTTCAATGGTTCAGCGACACGCGGAAATGTTCTCTCGTAGGGAAGGCCATCCTTCCGTAACCTTTGAGACACCGACACGGGCAGCTCCTCTGGCGACATCGTCAAGACCAAACGTTATGTCTGCGGCTTCACACATTGCTCCAGACTCAGGCTGGCGTCGTGGCTCTCCACGAAAGCTTGAAAGTATCGACGAGAACGTGACAGTGAATCTGGAGTTCGAAGAATTGAGACGAAGACGAGAACCGTACGTCAAATCGGTTGCAAGCCGTCTCAGTGTCGGGCCGCAGTCAATATCCACTTCATCAATGTCGAGGGAATCTGGTTTCGACGCTCGTCAGGAGTATGAAGATGAACAGCAAAACCTCAAGGGGTCTGGACTCGGAGCGGCTCCATGGATGGGTCAGCAGACACCTATTGAGATATGAAGAGATGCTGGTGTGTGGGATTTCCTAAGTCATATGATAGGTAGCGATTTAGTAGAGTGTGTAGATCGTAGACCTCGCAGATAAGAACTTGATTCCTTGTTTGTTATTTATTCAGTGTGATGAACAAATGGTAAGTGAGGCTGTAAAGTACAAGTTTAGAACGCAATGCGAAAGAGTGTGAGACATTCCTCCCCCTTTGCGAACAGAGTTTTTGTGACAATGCAGCTCGACATCTTTTTCTCTCGTACAACCTACTATCCGTTGTCACGGAAAGAGGCTTTCTGAGATTACGACTTGCAAGTGAGGGTAGAATCAATTCCACCACCACCACTGGCGATAAGAACTTGCGGGACGAAAGGACCGGGTGCGACATCGTGGCATTGCCTTCCAGTTGACAAGGGAGAAGGGCTTGTGAATAGGTTATAGGTTATCGCTTCTCCTCCCAGTGAACCTCTATCACACTGCAGTGATGCGTGGCGATCCATCGGCCATAGCGTACCCGTACCTCAAAAGCAAGCAAACCGAGCCGGCGTCCTTCCCAACGGACACAGCTACGTTCAAAAGTGCGACAATGCGCGATAGAAGGAACAACGTGACGAGCGTTGAGACTCCTTTCGAAAGCCCGCGGCAAACGATGAAGGGCTCAGTTATGGAGCCTTTGCAACTCCGACCTCGGCCGGCCTGAGTATTCTATCACCAATAGTGTATCCAAGCTTGGTGATATCCATAACGGTCCCTGGCTGATGGTCCGGGGAAGGAGCCTCGAAAACGGCCTGATACTTATTAGGATCGAATTGATCGCCGACCTCTCCGAACCTGGTGATGCCATGCTGGGCAAAAACCTTGAGCAGCTCCGCCTCTGTGGCGGCGACGCCGGTGTACAGGCCCTGCAGCTGGTGGTTGTGCGGGTCGTGCAGGGCGTCCTCGGGCACGGCCTTGAGCGCGAGGCCGAGGTTATCGGCGACGGAGAGCAGGCCCTTAGCGAACGGGAGGACGGCGTACTTCTTGGCGTTGTCGACGTCGCGGCGGGCGATCATGCGGACGTTCTCCATCTCGGCGAGCACGCGCAGGGTGCGGTCGTTCAGCGCGGCCAGCTCCTGCTCCTTCTCCTGCAGCTGGTTGGCGAGGTGCTCCTCCGCGGACACGGGCTCGGGCGGGGTCGCGGGCTCGTCCGACGGGGGGGCCGCGGCGGGGTCAGAGCGAGGCTCGGCGTTCGGAGGGGCAGGCGCGTCGGCTGAGCCGTCCGCTTTGCTCTCCGTCGCGAGGGGACGGAGGGGCTGCGCGCGCGCGGCGGCGAAGCGCGCGCGCGGGGGGAGGAGGGAGACGCTGCGGGTGGCGAGGGCGCGCAGCATCGCGGGAAGGATGGTGTTGCGGGCGGGCGGGCGACGGTGGGGTGGGACGAGGATCGGAAGTTGTTGAGGTGGGCGGTGGGGCTGGCGGTGGGGCGGGCGGAGGAGTGAGCCGTGGGTTGATGATGTAGAAGGCAACGCCACCGGCGTGGCACTAGTGTACAGTACCAGATCCCTATCCTCCTCAAAGGACAAGGATGCGGTACAGTGGTGTATGATGACAAAGGCACCAATGAGAGGACGCGCATTCCTTTCGGCTGAATCATACGTTACACGTGCACACGTGTACCAGAATGATTGCCGCATTGATCGGGCGGGTGAAGGTACCTTTACCCTCCTCCTCCTCCTCCATCTCCACCTCCCCCCCGCCCCCTGCTTGCTTATCAAAAGCTTCCCCCAAAACGCGCGCCGCCACCATGTCTTCCCCCGGTCCGGCTGCCGTCGCGTCCTCTTCCTCAGCCGCGGAACCGCCAGCGCCGTTCCAGAAGAAGGACGCGTCGCACGGCGCCTTCTACGCCGGCTTCTTCAAGGGCATGTTCTCGGCCTTCGACGGCATGCTGCTCTTCGCCTCGTCCAAGCAGCTGCGCCGCGTCTTCTGGAGCCTGCTCGCCCCGATGCGCAACGCCCAGATCGCCTACGTCTTCACCGGCGTCCTCATCTTCCTGCTGCTGCGCGACCCGGCCGACGACGCCGCCGAGCTGTTCTGGACCATCTCGCGCTGGGGCCGCATCGTCACCGTCCTCACCACGTTTCTGCTTGAGAAGAAGTACCACGCAAACTCCATCATGTTCTTCGAGGCCCTCCAGGTCCTCAACCCTTCCTTTGCGCAAGCACTCAAGGACACCCCCAAGACCAACACTAGCCTCAAGGATAAATGGAACAAGGTCAAGAGGGTCGCTAAGCTCACCTTATTCAAGGCAACCGGCGCCATAATTAACCGCATCTTCCCGGGCGGCAGGTACATCGCCATTCCCGCTGTCAAGTTTGTTTCCATGCGCCCTGTCCTCGGCGCCCCAGTCGCAGCGGGCCTCGCCTCCATACATGCCATCCCGGTCCAGTTTCTGGAGTCTTCGCGCGTCGATGACGCTTTGGTGTCTGTTGGTGAGGCCATCCTCGACGCCGACGAGCTGGGCACTGACGCCACGCGCGAGTTCCACACGCGCCTGGATTCGGAGGAGACCCGACATTACTTTGCGGAGCGCTATCGCGGCTACCTCACCGGTTGTGGCTTTGTCTACAGTTTGCTTGAAGCCGTGCCCTTGTTGGGCATTCCCATGTCTCTCATCGCGGAATGTGGCGCCGCTTGCGTCGTCACTGACATCGTCAAACGCAACCTCGACAAGGAGAATCGGAGACCGCTTGTGTGCGAAGACAAAGTAAACCACGACAAAACGTCGTAGAGAGTCGCTTGCCTTTTGTACCCACCCTGCAAGTAACATTGCAGAGCTTTAGTCGCTTTTTTGTCTCAACTGTCATCTTCACTTTCACCTTTTACAACTTCATACGCTACCGGCCGGTTGTCCTTTCGCACGACGCTCTCATTGTACGGATAATCGCCCCAAAACGAGCGCCTCCCACTCACGGCTTCGAAATACCCCTCCGAGAACTCGGTCAGGGCCTCCTGCAGCACGGCGACGCGATCCTTCAGCAGCCTCTCGACCGCCGGTCGCTGGTCCTGCACCTCCTCGGCAATGCCAGACGCGACCTCTTCGGCCTTGTCCATGCCCGTGCGCACGAGCCGCTCGCCCTTTTGCGCCAGCTGAGCCACCGCTCTCTCGCGTTTCACCTGCTGCTGCCGCGCGTGGCGCTCCTCCCGCGCCGTGATGTCCGGGTCCGGGATGTAGTCGTGCTTGTACAGCTTCCACGCCCCGCGCAGGCGCTTCCGGAACTCCGCCCAGTCCTTCGCCGGCTTCGGCCGGTCGCGCAGGCCCGGGAACACCGCCTCGCGCGTGTGGAACCGCTCGTACCCCGGCGGCGGCTGCAGCGGCCGGTGCATCGCCGCCCATTCCATCCGGTGCAGACGCCAGCGGGCCCGTGCCCTCCGCAGGTGCCGCCAAATCTGCTTCATGCTCGCGGTGGCGCCCGACTACAGGTGACCTTTGACGTACAAGGGGCGTCTCATTTGAGGTGGCAACTCACAAGAGGCACAGCACCGTGTGACTTGCGATCGGTCGGTCTGCGTCTGAATCTGAATCTGAATGTGAACCTTGGAGCCGCGGGTTGACTTAAAAGAGGGAACGTGTGTATCTTTAGCAAAAGGACACGTGCTCACCGAGAGAGGTCGCAGGTATCGAAACAGCAACAGACGCGAGGGTAAGCACGCACGGGCGCTGAATCGTCAAAGGTAGCGTGGCCGGATTGGCTTGCCATCTCCCACTGTCGACATGGAAAAGCAATTTAGAAATTTCATCCTTTCCAGTTTCCACACGCACAAAAATGCCGCCTTCCCCCCCCCCGCCCCGCTCCCTCCCTCCACCTCCTTTGCATTCAAGGCAGGAGTTGGCGCCCCCTCACGCTACGCTCTACGTTGATATCAGAAGGCGGACGCGGGCTGCGCAAAAAGAAAAATACTTGTAGCGCCCCAGTTCTAGTGCGGTGTGACGCAGAGTCCTTTGCGCGTCTCGCACAACACCTCGGCGCTCAGAGGTGCAGGATGTCAAGTGAAGAAGGAGGAAAGGAAAAGGTTGCGTTTCAGCCGTTGCCATCAAGGCCAACGCAGCACTGGGGAGATATTGAAAAGAGAGCAAGGCGTGCGGTACGGGCGGTACGGCAAGCATAAGAGCAGTGTATCAGCGGTGCCCCTTGTCGGACTTGCGGGGTGCGTGAGGGAAAGTGAAACAAATCTGTTGCGGCAAGAGTGCAGCAGTGTCAAGAGACAGAAGCGCGTACAGAAGAATCGCGCGATGGTACAGATGGACAGCAGGGGTTTTCAAGCAGGCACGGCGGTGCACTGCGGGAGAGGAGGAGATTGCGAGGGCGAGCGGGCGAGGGAGAGAGAGAAACAGAAATAGAGACAGAAAGAGGGGGAGCTTTTCTTTCTGTTGGTGTATCGTGCGTCCGGCTTGACGTTTATAAAAGTATGTGAACGCTTGAGACTGAGAGGGGGTGATCGGAAGTATCATGAGCGGTGTGTTGGTGAGAGAAATGAGGCGGGGGAGCGGAGGATGGAGCGCAAAAGAGTGTATGTGTGTGTCATGGTCATGCAGGCATGGCTGGCACGTCACTGGATATTTGAATGACGCAAGGTAGGGATTTTAATGGCTGTTGATGTCAAGACCGCCTGTCAACAGGCGGTGTGAAGGGGCAGTACAGTACATGAGGCAAAGGTTTATTGGGCAGTGTGTGAGATGTTCAGCAAGTGATCTCAAGATGGTTCCTCTAGAGAAGATCAAGGGATATTTTTTGTTTCTATTGTAGCGGTTTCCTTCGGCACAAGGTTACTGCGTACGGGTACGACGACAAAGCTTTACGAGGGCAAGACAGGGATGCAGTGCGAAAAATGCGGATGTCATGAGACATGAATATTTAGTTGTTAGCGGAAATACGAGAGAACGAAATGCAATGTCTCTCGAAGAGATTCTACCAAAACCGTGGGTTGAATGGGGGTGTAACAAAAAAAAAAGAGCGGAGGGGCCGCTCAAGGGGGTTGTCACGAGCGAGACTGGGCCAAGACGTTAGAAAATCGGCTTGGCTGGAGCGGAAACGGGTGGGCATTGAGGTGCTTGCCCGACTGCGGGCTGCGCGGCCGAAACGGGCGGGCGCCCTTTAGGGTGGGCCACAGTGCGCCGACGAGGGCGCCGGAGCGCGAGCGTGAGCGCGGGCGGGTGTGGTTGGGGATGTGGAGCGGGCGGGGGGTGTAGTGCTGGAGAAAAGCGAGCTGGCGGGCGTTGATGGCGCCGCGGCGCAGGGCGCGGATCCAGCCGACGGCCTCGTACGGGTCCATGCCAAACTCGATCAAGGCGAGGGCGGCGAGGACCGGGGCGCGACCCAGGCCGGCGGGGCAGTGGATGGCGATGGTCTCGGTGAAGCGGTCTAGGCTGGAGTCGGAGGAGTCGGAGCCCAGGTCCGAGCCCGACGGGGACGCGGGGCGGCGGGCAGCGGCGCGTGCGACATGGTTGCGCAGGTCAAAAACGTTGTCGAGCAGGGCGAGCCAGTCGGCGACGACGTGGGGCGGCGGGGGGTGACCGTCTGGAAACGGGAGGTGGTGTAGGTGGAAGCCGCGGCGGCGCAGGGCGTCGGGGTCGTACGGGGGTTGGCAGACGGAGACGACGTGGGTGACGTTGTGCTTGAGCAGGAGGTGGGCGTAGGGCTGGAGGTCGTCGTGCGCGGGGGCGGCGGAGACGAGGAAGCGGAGCGGGCCGTGCTCGAGGAGGGTCGGGCGGGCGGGCGGCAGGCCGCGGCGATAGATGTCGGCCTTGCGCGCGTCGGCCTGCTCGAAGGCGAGCTCGAGCGCGCGCAGCGGGCCGGACAGCGGCGACTGCAGATCGTCCGCCGCCGGCTTGCGGCGGCAGAGCGGGCCGGAGAAGGCGGTGCCGAGCAGCATTGCGCGGGGCGGGGTGGGTGGGGGG